GAGGCAGCTGCCAAAGCACTTCTCTGTTAGGGAAAACTGGTCCTGATGAAAGACTGAGTTCAGACCTGTAGTTTTTAGTCCACGGATTGTACCTGCGGGTTTAAAGAGCTTTCTGGAGGCGGAGAGAAGGAGAGTGAGCGACTGCCATTTATGAAGCTGTGACAGACACTGATAATTCAACACAATGAATAAATTATTATTGCTATTGATTTGTTTTATCTTTCGGAGAGATTTGTTTTCAGAGGATGTGCTGGAGGAGCTGAGTTGCAATGAAATATAACATCCATTCCATGTGAAATCTATTTGTGTATAACCACTCTCTGGAGTGTCACAGTACGTAGATAAAGCGGGTAGGCAATGACAGCCAAGCGCGAGACTCACATGGAAGTGCCTTCCTGTCAGCCTTTCTAATGGCTGATCCACTGCAGAATAAATCTACTGCTGCTGCCTGCTAATGGCGTTATTCCTTTTGCTCACGACAGAGAGTTTTAACGGTGTATTGGGCTGCGTTAGTAGGAGCATTGCCAGCAGATCAAGGGAAATGATTATATTCCCCTCTATTCTGCACTGGTAAGGCCGTGTTTAGAGTATTACGTCCAGTTCCCCTCCCCCCCACTACTGAATCAATGTGGACAAATTGGAGAAAGTCCAGCAGAGGGCGAGGAGACGCTGAGGGATTTGGGCTTATTGAGTCTGCAGAAGAGAAGAGTGAGGGGGGTTTGTTAACAGCATTCTACGATCTGAAGGAGGTTCCAAAGAGGGCGGAGCCAGGCATCTCAGTGGAGACAGATGACAAAACGAGGAGCAATGGTCTCAAGTTACAGGGGGGAAGGTCTAGGTTGGATGGTAGGAAAAAAGACGTCCCTAGCAGGGTGGTGAAGCACTGGAATGGGTTACGTGGGGAGGTGGTGGAATCTCCATCCCTAGAGGTTTTTAAGGCCAGCAGTCTTGACAAAGACCTGGCTGGAGTTAGGGATCTAAACTAACATGTATTTGTGTAAATGTGTAACTGCTGGGTTTTTAGTAGTTACACGTTTACACGTTGAGGGGCAGGTGGGAGCCAGTGCTCCTTCCCCTTCCTCCCCCCCCCGCAGCCTCTGATAAAGAGGCCGCCGCCGGCCCAAGGGACGGGGGGGTTTTG